TGTGGAATGGCCCAGCCACTCACCTGATCCGAATCCAATAGAAAATACAGAATAAAGCTCAGATTTGATAGACGAGGCCCACAGAAGCATCAAGCTTTACACACTTTGTTGAAGTCTGTGAGAAACTCACACCTGAGGAATGCATGAAGCTTCATTCTCCATATGAGAGGCGTCTTCAAGCTGCAGCACCAATAAAAAGCTTTTATAAAAAGTATTCAGTACTGCTTTTTTTGGTCAGCTGAGGAAGTTCAACTGCTGAAACAGTTCTACACCTCCATTAAATCAGTCTTTTGCACGTCAATAACGGTCTGGTTTAGCTCAGCTACCAAATCTGAGCTTCGAAGACTACATCGTCTTGGGGTGGCACACAAAAAATAATAAATTCAGTGTATTTACATACATATATATATATATATATATATATATATATATATATATATATATATATATATACATACATATATATATATATATATACATATATATATATACAAAACTTTTAGGTTATTTTTCACACACCGTTATTGTACAGCATAGTATATGCCAAGCCTAAAATTAATGAACATTGAGTTAAATAATAAAACAAACAAATAAACAAACTAAACTAAAGACGTTATTTACTATATACACACACTCAAGGCTGATTTATACTTCTGCGTCAAACACCGGCATATGCTACGGCGCTGACGCATAGCCCTTCGCCATGGCCGTCGCCATCACTGACGTGCACCTCTCAAAAAATGTAACTACACGTCGCAACAACGCGTAGCGCAAGCTCTGTGATTGGTCGGCTTGGTAGCGCTGACGAGTCGGGGCGGGACCGAGTGCCGTGCGAATGGCGCGAACCCAATGGAGCGATTGTTTACAAGTGTGGAGTCCCGTGAAGGAGCTCCGGATGGAAAGTTTTGTTTTGTGTTTACCTCATAGTTAAAGTTGTTGCACGTCCGCCGGTTCCTGCCTCAAAATGAGCGAGTTTGAGCCACTTGTACATCCCGGAAGTGTTCAGTAAAAGCAAAACAGAAGCGAAGAAACTCGACACAGAGGAACATTTACACCTCACTGCCAACTAGCGTTTCTGAAGTGTTAATGCAGACCGACAGAGACAGCAGCAGAAGTATAAATGCACAGCTACAGGCGTTGCCTGCGCCGTGGGTTACGCCGGTCACTTGATGCAGAAGTATAAATCAGGCTTCACTATACAGACTCTAATAATATCCTATATCCATATCCTTTTTTGAGCCACAATATTACTAATGCAGCTTCTTCTATTGATGTACCCTATTAAATTGCCATTGCTGTCTAGTTATGTGCTTGCTGTCAACGACCATCGGGGAGGACAGTGTCGGTTCTAGTTGAAATGACACCCTGGGCGAACCACCCCACACCCTTAAATTGTTAATTTATTTTTCAATAAATATAACTATCGATATTTATTTTAAATAAATACTATTATTATTCTAAATAAATAACAGAAATCAATCCTAAAGGTTCAAACAAAGTAACAACTGGATTGATATGCTAAGATCACTTAAGAAACCTTTTGCATGAATATTATGACAATTCTAAAGAATACAAAAATATATATAATTTATAGAACTATCTGTTGTCTTAGACCCGACTCATGGCCGAGAATTAATGCCATGAAGTCTTACCTCCCTAACTCTTTATCCCTCCTTTCTGCTTTATAGTCATGCGAAGTGAAAGTAACATCATCATATTATATACACTTTAGTTTAGTCGACTTGCAAAACTCGCTGAATGCCGACACCTCAGCACAAAAGGCTGTCACTCTGGTTTCACGACGCATATTTTATCGGCGTTCATGCAAACAACAGGAGTGCGTGAGGCGCACGGGAATGGTTTTCTGTGTGCATGCGTCAGTTTGCGTTCACCAGCGTTGAACCAGCGCTGAGGGGGAGGCAGTGAATCAGCTACGTCGGTGACACCAAGAATAATTTAGTGCATTTTATTTATTTATTTATTGAAATAATGGGAATTTACATAAGTACATTTAAATTTATAACGTCAACAGCAAAATCATATTAGGGTGGGCACAGGGGTGGCCAGAGTTTACCCAGGGGCGCCCCTGACTACGTCGAATATGAATGAAATGACACTGTGAAAAAGTACTGAACACATGAAGAAAGGGGGGTGTATTCCAGCAGTGAAAGCCCAGACAGCAGCTGAAATCTCTTAGTAGTTCTTCAGCAAGCCTCTGCCCTTCCTTAGTGTAGATGAATATCAGCTGCTTCAGTCCAACATCTACATTAGCAGGAGGATGAAGATGAACCCAGGGTGGACATTTCAGCAAGACAATGATCCAAAACACAGCCAAGGAGACTCTCAGATGCTTTCAGAGAAAGAAAATCAAGCTGTAGAATGGCCCAGCCAATCACCTGACCCGAATCCAATAGAAAATACAAAATAAAGCTCAGATTTGATAGACGAGACCCACAGAAGCATCAAGATTTACACACTTTGTTGAAGTCTGTGAGACACTCACACCTGAGGAATGCATGAAGCTTCATTCTCCATATGAGAGGCGTCTTCAAGCTGCTGCACCAATAAAAAGCTTTTATAAAAAGTATTCAGTACTGCTTTTTTTGGTCAGCTGAGGAAGTTCAACTGCTGAAACAGTTCCACCTCCACTAACACCTCCATTAAATCAGTCTTTTGCACGTCAATAACTGTCTGGTTTAGCTCAGCTACCAAATCTGAGCTTAGAAGACGCCGTCGTCTTGGGGTGGCACACAAAAAATAATAAATTCAGTGTTTTATATATATATAAAACACTATATATATATATATATAGTGTTTTATATATATATTTTATATATATATAAAACACACACATACATATATATATATATTTGTTTCTGGTAAATGAAATAGTGGTTTAAATATTGCAATTTATTCTTGAAATAATTCAGCAAGTACA